GGTATCAGAGCAGATTTTTTTGTAAACTCTAATCTAAGCCGCTGCCCCCCCTCTCTCTTTTGTCGGCCATGGCTAACTCCTTGGATGCTAACTCTCCATACTATGTGCATCCCTCTGATCACCCCGGTCTTGTTTTTGTCATCCATCCTTTGTCTGACAATGGTGACAATTACTTTACCTGGAAGACATCTTTCCTCAATGCTCTTCGTTCCAAGAACAAATCAGGTTTCGTGGACGGCTCCATCTCTCCCGCTGATGCGGATTCTCCCGACTACAATAATTGGGTGCGCTGCAATGCCCTAGTCAAATCCTGGCTCATCAACTCCATTCATCAAAACCTTCAACCTATGGCGGCTCACATCGAATCTGCCGTTGATGTTTGGAACGACTTTGCTGAGCGCTTCACTCAAGGTATCGCCCCTCGTATTTATGAATTAAAGCGCACCATTGCTCTTCTCCAACAAGAAAAGACTTCCACTTCTGTTTATTACGGTAAACTTAAGAATGTTTGGAGTGAATTGCAAAGTCTTCGCCCATCTCCTGTTTGCACTTGTGGTGCTTGTTCTTGTGGTGCTGCTAATAAATTACGGACTCTTCAAGAAGAAGAAAAGGTATTTGATTTCCTCATGGGTCTCGATGACTCATACAAAATTGTCCGCTCTCAGATTCTCAGTGTCGAACCTATGCCCTCCCTTGGTCGCGCCTATGCTGTTGTCGCTCAGGACGAGAAGCAACGCTCTCTTGCTGATAATCGTCATCCTGTTGTTGAGGCCTCCAGTCTTCTTGCCAAAGCCCCTCAACCCGGCCGCGGGGCTACTCGTCGAGATGGTCGTCGCACTGGCCCCAACAAACTTCATTGCACTCATTGTCGGCGCTCCAATCATCTCGTTGAAAATTGTTGGGAGTTGCATGGTTACCCCGCCGGATGGAAGCCCCGCCAGAATGTCACCACCCCCGCTGCTCTCGCCGCTCCTGCCCAATACACCGCGGCTGACTCCGGCACTGCATCTCTCTCCGCGACAACGACGGCCGCCTCCCTGACCCCAGCCCAGCTGCAACAACTCTTTGCCATGCTTGGCACCCAGCCGCCTGCTGGTTCTTCAGCCGCCTCCACTGCACCTCCACCGTCGGCCTCCTCTACTAGTGGTAAGATACTTTGGGCAGCCGATTCTTGCGCCACTGATCACAGTACTCATATGATGCACTCCATAATTAATCCTCGCATACCCTCTCATCCAATTCACATTCAAATCCCAAATGGAGATCATATTCCTGTCCAAGCTAGTGGGAGAATCAAGCTTGGCCCTGACTTATATCTTGAGAATGTTTTGGGAGTTCCACAATTTAAATTTAATCTTATATCTGTCAGCAAATTGACTCGGGATTTGAACTGTTTCTTCACTTTTGGGCCTGATTTTTGCTTCATACAGGACTTACGTTCGAGGAAACTGATTGGAGTGGGTAGAGTACGAGATGGATTATATTATTTGGAAGGTGTGGGAACTGGCGATGGTGGGAAGGTCTTGTTGGCACGCAAAGATAACACAGCTGGTTTATGGCACCATCGACTCGGTCACATGCCCATTGGTCGTCTACCTTTAGTTTCTGGAATTCCTATTTCTAATAATCATTCAGTCTCTTTTTGTGATGCCTGTTCTAAGGCCAAACACTCACGATTGCCTTTTCCTAGTAATGTCAATAAATCTTTGCACACTTTTGATCTCCTTCATTGTGATATTTGGGGTCCCTACCACACCCCTTCTCACTCTGGTGCTCGTTATTTTCTTACTTTGGTGGATGATTACAGTAAAGCAACTTGGGTCTTTCTTATGAAATTCAAATCCGAGACCAAACGCTATTTGATATTATTCCTTAATTGGGTTCGCACTCAGTTTGCCACTACTGTTAAGACTATCCGCTCAGATAATGGTTTAGAATTTTTTCATGATGACTTGCTGCAATATTATTTTGAAAATGGAATTAATCGTCAAACTAGTTGTGCACACACTCCACAACAAAATGGGGTGGTAGAGCGCAAACATAGACATATTCTTGATGTTGCTAGAGCTCTTCGATTCCATGCTAGTCTACCACTTAAGTTTTGGGGGGAATGCATCTTAACTGCTGCCTACTTGATCAATAGAATGCCATTATCAGTTCTGCATAACAAAACTCCTTATGAACTTCTTTTTGGGCATGTTCCTTCTTATGATCATTTACGTAGCTTTGGTTGTCTCTGCTATGCTAATGTCACTAGTAGACCAAGAGATAAGTTTCATGCTCGTGGTAAACCTGGTATTTTTGTTGGTTATCCACATGGTCAAAAGGCTACCGAATTTATGACCTGGACAGTCACCTCATTTATTCTTCTAGAGATGTGACGTTTCACGAGGATCAATTCCCTTTTGCCACTTCTGCACCCTTGGTCTCTGCCTCTTTGGATGTTGACTGTCAAGTTCGTGATGCCGCCATTGATCCGGTTCCTTTATCTGCGCTCCACTCTTCTCCGACTGCCTCATCCACGGCCGCGCCCAGCTCATCACCTGCACCACCTAGTCCTGGTTCTTCTGCATCAGACGGGCCATCCTCATCATTGCCTTTTCCACCACCGGCAACACCATCTCGCCGGACCCGCCAATTGCCACGTCGTCTCTCCGATTACGACTACACATTGCCACCTTCCCTCCTTCCAAATAATCCATCGTCTACTCTTGCCGCTTCTTCAGATTCCTCAACGGTACATCCACTATCTCATACTCTGTGTTATTCCAGATTTTCAAAGTCGCATGTTGCCTTGTTAGCGGCCATCTCTTCTACAGATGAGCCCACTTCCTTTCGACAGGCTGTTCAATATAAACATTGGCGAGATGCTATGTCTACTGAAATCAAGGCTCTAGAATTCAATAACACATGGAGTATCGTACCTCTTCCTCCTGGAAAGCGAGCTATTGATTCTAAATGGGTCTATCGAGTGAAGTTTCATCCTGATGGCAGTGTTGACCGTTATAAAGCCCGTTTGGTGGCTAAGGGCTTCACTCAAATTGAAGGAGTCGATTTTCATGAGACCTTTGCTCCCGTCGCTAAGCTCGTTACTGTTCGTTGCCTTTTAGCTCTTGCCTCCATCCGTAAATGGGAGCTGCATCAACTCGATGTCACTAATGCCTTTCTACATGGCGACTTACATGAGGAAGTTTACATGAAGATTCCTCAAGGTTTTGCCAAACAGGGGGAGACGCGTGTTTGCCGGCTTCAGAAATCCCTCTATGGACTTCGTCAAGCATCGCGAAATTGGTACCATAAGCTTGCTCAAGCTCTTACTACCGCTGGTTTTCATGAGTCTTCATCCGACTCATCACTATTTCTTTATTCAAAGGGGTCTTCTTTTATGGCTGTTCTTATTTATGTTGACGATATCATCGTCACCGGCAATGATGTTTCCAAGATTCTCCAACTTAAGAAGTACCTTCACCAGCAATTTAGCATTAAAGATCTTGGCCCTTTAAAATATTTTCTTGGTATTGAGATAGCTCGCTCTTCTACGGGTATTGCTCTCAGCCAGAGAAAATATGCGCTTGATATTCTCCAAGAATGCGGTCTTCTTGGTTGCCGACCGATCTCGACCCCCATGGAGCAGCAGCATCATCTCTCTGTCGACTCTGGGGAGTTATTTGATGATCCTGGACGTTATCGACGTATCGTTGGTCGTCTTCTCTATCTCACTGTCACACGTCCCGATATCAGCTATGCAGTCCATGTTCTTTCCCAATTTATGCACCAGCCGCGTATCCCTCACTATGAGGCTGCTCTTCGTGTTTTGCGCTACTTGAAGAATGCTCCTGGTCAGGGTCTCCTCTTCCCTTCTTCTAGTTCTCTTCAGTTGCGCGCCTATTGTGATGCTGATTGGGCAGGATGTCCGTCCACTCGTCGTTCCACTACCGGCTTTATTGTTTTCTTGGGTGATTCTCCGATCTCTTGGCGTTCCAAGAAGCAATCTATTGTATCTCGCTCTTCTGCTGAAGCTGAGTATAGGGCTATGGCATCTACAACTAGTGAATTGGTTTGGCTTGTCCGTCTTCTTGATGAGTTGCATGTTTCTCAATCAGTTCCAGTCCCTCTTTTTTGTGACAATCGTGCTGCCATCCACATTGCTTCGAATCCTGTTTTTCATGAGCGCACAAAACACATTGAGATTGATTGTCATTTTATTCGCCATCACATTCTTTCCAAGCTTTTGGTTCCACGTCCTGTTTCTTCCAACCGTCAGTTAGCGGATTGTTTCACCAAGGCTTTGGGTCGTGACCCCTTATTTGGCATTCTCGGCAAGTTGGGCATTTGTGATCTTCATGCTCCAACTTGAGGGGGAGTATTGAGAGAATATCTTGTGATATTCTTATACGATAAATATGGCAATTGTATCTTGTTGATATGATATAGATTAGGTTGTATCAATTAGATGATATGGTAAATCTCGTAGATTAGGTCCTTTGATTTCTTTCCTTTCTTTCATCTCCTTTGGCTTGTATAAATACCTTGTAATCTTCATTGAGTTAAATAACAATTCAAGCTCTACATCATTCTCTCTACTTTTACAAAAACAATTAAAAAAGGCTTAATGGCGGGAAAATACACGACCTTTACGTGTTTGGCCATTTAATCCCAACCTTTAGACCTTGGCAAATAAATACACGACCTTCACATTTTTGGCAACCCGATACCTGGTTTGGTCTGCCGTTAACGGAAATCCTACGTGGCTTGTAAAACTGACGGACACACCAAACGGGCGTCCCAGTCAGCGCCGAGGTGGCATAATCGGGTAGTATAAAAGCCAAATGGGACTCTAAATTGCCCCAAAATCTTCATTCACGAACGAACCCTAATTTCCCCAAAAATCGCCCCAATTTTGCGCTGAACTGCCCGGAAATTCAGAGGGTGTGTGTTCCATATCATCGATTTGCTCCAGAATTCAGAGGGTGTGTCTTCCATATCATCGATTTGACGTCATGGTTGCAAGGTAACTGCTCTTTCTCTCTTGAAATCTTTAATTTGATTTTATATTTTGTAGGGTTCGATTGTTAATCTTTTCCGATTTTTTCAATTTACAGCGATTTCTTTCTATTATTTATCAATCACAAGGGTAGATTTGTGACTGTCGATGGGTATGAGGCGTATTATGGTGATAAAGTTGCCACGGTTACTGGGTTGGATGCAGATAGGCTAGGTTATTTTGACATTGAAGATGAAATAACGAAGTTGGGATATGAAAACTGGGGTAGAATATGTTATAAGCATCGGACAACACGTGAATTTAAAGATATAACAGATGATGCTGGTGTTATGGACTGTTTGGGTCAAATGCAGGGAAACAAAAGATATGTTGAAATATATGTGCAAACTGAACATTTAAAGAAACCGTGTGGGGTTGCTGTGTGTCAACAAGAAAATGGATCTAGGAATAGGGTATCTAAAGTTGCTGAGGTAGATCAAGCAAAGGATACTAGTGAGAAGCTGATTGATACTAGTGACAAGCTGGTTGATACTAGTGACAAGCTGGTTGAGTTTTCTTTAGATGAAAGTGAGGATGAGGACTATGAACCATCTGGAGAATCTTCAAGTGATGATGGTTTGTCTGAGGAAGATTTAGGGACAGATGATGAGGAGTATCTTGAGGCCAGGAGAGAAGTTTTAAACTCTAGAAAGTCACAAGATGCTGGGGATGCAAACATTTCCTGTGCACAGCCATCTGCACATCATGAGGCTGATGACAGCATTACACCTGCAAGAGATATTGAGTCAGAATATGAAGATTCTGAAGGGAATGTGAACACTGATTCATCTAGTGGTGAGGGTTTTGATGATGATGATGATGATAAAGCAAGGCCTAAGAAAAAAAAAATTGTTTATGATGGTAAGGGGGATCTGCAGACATTTCAATTTCAGCTTGGGATGAGGTTTGAAAGCATTGGACAATGTAAGAAGGCAATTCAGAGTTATGCAATATATAATGGCTGCAACATAAGTTTCTTCAGAAGTAGTTCAAGTCAGGTTGAAGCTAGGTGTGAAGTGGGTTGTCCATGGAGGCTTTATGCTAGTCTGATAAAAGGTGAAGGTAGTGTGGCTATCAAGACCTTTGTCAATACCCATAGCTGCCATAGGGACTTGAACACTAAACAAGCAACTGCTTCATGGGTTGCTGGGGAGTATCTACCTATGATTAGGAAGAAGCCTAAGATGAAAATTTCTGACTTAGAGGATTCTATCAGTGAAAAATATGGTGTGCAACCCTCTAGGTGGAAACTGTACAAAGCAAAAACTAGGGCTCTTGAACTGCTTAGAGGTACAGAGGAGGAGCACTATGGAAAACTAAGGAGGTACATTGCAGAGCTTGAAAGGGTTGATAGAAATGGCACATTTCAGCTTGTCTTGGAGAGTGGCAGTGTATTCAAAGGTTTTTATGTTGGTTTTAGTGCACTCAGACAAGGTTTCTTGCAAGGCTGTAGGCCAATAATTGGTTTTGATGGGTGTTTCTTGAAGACCTTTTTAGGAGGTGTTTTATTGTGTGCTGTTGGCAAGGATGGGAACAACCAGATATTTCCCTTGGCATGGGCAGTTGTGGATTCTGAGAATGAGAGCAATTGGAAATGGTTTCTAGATATTCTTTTTCAAGATTTGGGGATATCAGATGGACTTGGATGGACATTTATTAGTGATCAACAAAAGGTTAGTTTTTGAATCATATTACAGGCATTTATATATATATTTCTTTATTTGTCTTGTCTCTAATATTTGTTCTTCTTTAACTCATTATGTAGGGACTCATTGCTGCTATAAGGGATCTCTCACCACATGCAGAACATAGAAACTGTGCACGGCATGTGTACATGAACTGGAAGAAATCTCACAAAGGCAGTGCACTTAAAAGCTGTTTCTGGAGGGTAGTGCATAGCACATACAAGGCAGCCTATAAGGAGGCACTTGAAGAGATGAAGGTAGTGGGTAAAGAGGCTTATGAGGAATTCATGAAGCTGGAAAATGTCAGGTTCTGTAAAGCTTTTATCCTTGAGAATCCAAAATGTGATATGATACTTAATAATGTGTGTGAAACTTTCAACAGTACCATAGTGAAGGCAAGGAAACAACCTATTGTTGACATGCTTGAGAGTATTAGATCTTATGTAATGGAAAGGCAGCATCACAAACTTATGTTGACCAGTGGAGTAAAAGACACAATATGTCCTAGGATAAGGAAAAAAATTGAGGAACATAAGTTGAGTAGTAGGTTGTGTGTGACCAAACCTGCAGTAGGTGAAAAATTTCAAGTTGCCATATCAGATGATCAATTTGTAGTTGATTTGAAGTCCATGACATGTAGTTGTAGAAGCTGGGATATATCTGGTATACCATGTATCCATGCTTGTTCTGCAATTCAGTACATGAAGAGGGATGTAGTGGATTTTGTCAGCCCATACTTCTCTGTAGAAAGAAATTTGAGAGCATACTCCTTTTGTCTTGAACCATTAAATGGACCTAAAATGTGGCCTGATGCATCTGGGTCCACTGTCAAGCCACCTCCATTTAAAAAGATGCCTGGTAGACCTAGAATAAGAAGGAGAAGAGCACCTGAAGAAGAGGCCAAGAGTGACACTAAGCTGAGGAGATTTGGACTACAAATGACTTGTCAAAAATGCAAGAAAATTGGGCATAACATCAGGACTTGCCCCAATGAAGCTGCTCCTGCACAGACAAGAGTGAGTTTATTTGTTAGTGCTTATTTATGAACATTTATGATGCATTATGATAATATCCTTCTTGTTAAATTGCAGAAAAAGAGGGGGAGACCAAGGACAAGGGAGCAACATGTGGAGTCTTCTGCAAGAGATTGGCAGCCAACAAACCCAACACCAGTCACAACAACAACCCCAACACCAGTCCCAACAACAGCCCCAATAGCACCACCACAAGAACCACAAACAGAAGCCCCAACAGCACCACCACAAGTACCACAAACACAAGCACCAACAGCACCACAAACACAAGCCCCAACAAAAGCCCCATCCACAAGAGCAACCACAACCAGAAGAGAAACCACAGTCACAAGAGCAACCAGAACAGCCCCAACTACAAGATCAGCCACAGCTGCTATGCAACAGACAAGGAAGAGTGCCAGGATCAGAAGTGTTGGACAATCATCTCAAACTGTGCAAGCTATTAGAGCAAGAGATAGGGCAATGGTAAAAAAGCTAACTTTATTTTCTTTCATAAAGCTAAATGTCAGTTTAGTTAACTTATTGTTGTTTTCATTCTTTAGGCCAAAAAAGGATATGGTGTGATGGTCTCTGAGCAGACAGGAGACATTTATATGAGGGTATGCATCATTGTTTACCATATTTTTCCCTGTGCCAATTTGTTATGCATTTTTCAGAAATTTACTTAATTTGTTCCACCACTGCTTAATCAGATGCCAGGGCAAAGTAGGGTTAACTTTGTACCTAACAACAGACCCAAGAGATCAGCACATGGACAAAAGAAACAAACATCCAAGAATTGCCCAACAGATCAGGGGACCCAAGAGAGTGTTTGCAACTTTTCACCTTAGTTGTCATGGATATGTACTTGTTAGGTTTTGGGGATGCTGTTTATGAACTGCCTTGTTTTTTCATGTTTTTGGTTGTTGGATTGGAGATGCAGTTGTAATTTCTGAATTTGGATTAGATTTGATGATTTTGGTTGTGGAATTTGGATTGGATTTGACTTTGAATTGTCCATCAAGACTTTTGTTAGTAGACATGTCTTCATTTTCAAGTTGTTTGGTATTTAATATGCTTGTACACAGATGTGTGACCCTAACATGGTTGTGAAGTTAAATACAGCCCCAATAAACCTAAACCAAAAAAAGCCAAAATGATCATTGTCAATATTAACATACAATATATTGCACCAACATACACATACACTAAAATAAACTTACAGAAAACATAAGCTGATTCAAAAAATTAAATTCCATAACAACTGCAAAGTATCCAAAAGACAGCATCATAAATGGTTCATTGTCAATACATAACCGAGATGAAGTTACAAAAACTTAAAGCTAATTCAACATCAATAAACCATTTTCCCCTTTACCCAAGGAACAAAGCAAAACAACAAATAACACAACTGACACACACACAATACGGTTTCTGAAGATGTTTCTCTTGGACAAGACTTGTACTTGCTTCTCCAAGTCATTTACTTTGGATTTAAGACACAAAAGTTCATTCTCCTTCATTTTCAGCCTCTCAACCATTGCTACTGCAATATTTTGTTCGCATTTTAATTGCTCCTCCAAGTCATTTGCTTTGGATTTAAGACACAAAAGTTCATCCTCCTTCATTTTCAGCCTCTCAGCCATTGCTACTGCAGTATTTTTTTCGCATTTTAATTGCTCCACCAAGTCATTTGCTTTGGATTTAAGATACAATAGTTCATCATTCTTCAATGAGACCCTTTCAGCCATTGCTACTACAGTGACTTCCTTGCATTTTAATTGCTCCTCCAACAATGTCTTATCAGCCTTCAGTTTCAGAAAACATGATTTCTGAAATGGTCCAAGCTCCGGATCAATCCAAGAAAAGTATCTACAGGGTTTCTTTTACAAAGAAGCAAGGATTAGAACAAATCACATAATCTGAAAACCCATAAACTAAGTTCATGTCATAAAACCAAAATTTTTCAAACTGTGCTCGTAAAGCAACTAGTATTTTCAAACTGAGATCATTTCCTCAAATTCAACTCGCACTTCACATTGAACAGGACAATTCATCTCAGATCGGCCACGCATGAAATAACAAGAACTACACCAAATTGCAGTCATATCGGCATAATTGCACTCATATCGACACAAAACATAATCAAAACACCAAATTGCAACAGGAAATCGAACTCACCTCTGTGTTGATGCAACGTCGAAATCGACGACAAGGATTGAGGTCGGTATTTGATGTGAATAAACCTGGTTCGTCTCCACAACCACATTCTAATTTGAATGTCCTTGAATTTGAGCTCGAACTCGTCGACATTTCAGCGCAAAATTGGGGCGATTTTTGGGGAAATTAGGGTTCGTTCGTGAATGAAGATTTTGGGGCAATTTAGAGTCCCATTTGGCTTTTATACTACCCGATTATGCCACCTCGGCGCTGACTGGGACGCCCTTTTGGTGTGTCCGTCAGTTTTACAAGCCACGTAGGATTTCCGTTAACGGCAGACCAAACCAGGTATCGGGTTGCCAAAAATGTGAAGGTCGTGTATTTATTTGCCAAGGTCTAAAGGTTGGGATTAAATGGCCAAACACGTAAAGGTCGTGTATTTTCCCGCCATTAAGCCAATTTAAAAATTATCTATTTTGACAACTATGAAAAGAATGAAAATGAATCGAAACTAATACTACCTCCTATTCTTTTTAAATGTCATTTTGGCTTTATCAACTATTAACCAAAATAAATGTCGTTTTAGATCTTTTGTATATATTTTTCCATTATTACCCTCATTTAGTTAATAAATACACTCGTCTTTCATATTCTCTTCATCTTATTTTTAAAATATTCATCTCTATCTTCATTAATGAGGGTTATTATTGGTAAAAAAATTATTCTTAATTAGTATGCAACTTTCCAAAACGACACTTATTATGAATAGGAGGGAGTACTAGTATCTCATTTTCATATTGTTTATTGCTACATTTATTTACATTACGCAACTCACACACCCCGGGGCATCATCTGTTAATCAATACTAAACTTGTCCCAGAAAGAAACAAAAGGCTGTGAGGAGGCAATAATTGTTGGGAAAAATTGGCGTGGGCATAAAACCATCATAGATTAATGATGACACACACAAATGGGCCCCGAAAATTCATGATGCTTAGCATATGCACTTTCCCTTTTCAATGTGGGGGACCTTAATTAATGGCCACATTTATACATATATCCATAAGCTTTAGAAATTATTAAAAAAAACTCAAAAGGTTCTAATTTGGTCATATTGGTTTTGGGTAACAGCAATTAGATCATCTCCAGGTTTTATGTGCACAAAGCTTGACACGATTTACACATACTAGTAATGGCCCATATGCCATACATCATTCTAGCCTCCATCTCCTCCTCTCGAAAAACACACAAGAATCATAAAATAAAATAAAATAAAAAACACAAGAAAATAAAACTAAGACAAAAACCAAATATTTTACTTGCCTCCCCCGGTAATAGGGTCAAATTTATTGTAGCAAATTATTATTTTACCGATTACGGGAGGAATCCCGACTTTGGGTCGATCTCTCTAGGAAGGTTGTCATAATCTAGAATCGATGTCGATCAAACACGAAAAGAAAATAAAGTCCTAAATATTCTAATCATGATTGGTTGGGTGTTATCTAAAGACTACAAAAAATCATAAAACAATCAAACAAAAAAATAAGTAGATGAAGTTCTAGAGGTCAGGAATAATCGCTTCAAGTCTCATATCTATGTAGAACGTATTAGTGGTGTTCAGTTGAAAGACTGAGGCCATCATCTAAACGCCTAGCGGTTTACCCCAATAACTCTCCTAACAAGGGATTGAACATAAACACTCGAGTTACAGAATATGCACAAGCATAGAGGTTCATCCCCGATACTTTACAAATACAGGTTCGGACATAGACAAAAACATACTTCAATCAAAGAACTGATAGATGATACAATTAGAAACAAGTCAACCCTATTCGTACCAGAATTGGATACCCTATCTCCTTTATGATTCTTGAAGCGATTCTACTAGGTCAACCCTATTCATGACAGGCCCTCCTTCTAGCGACATTCTGTTGACGATCATCTTCCCTAGCTTAACTACTAAAGTTGCCGTGTGCTATTTAGGGTAAGATTGGTGTCTTAAGATGATTGAAAATGGAAATAAAATTGGGAAATAAAATTAGAACAATATGACAATCGATGAATCGATGCGCCTGCACTGGGGGTCTTATTTAAAGGTTTGGGCTGCTCCCACACCTTTTTGCAACAAGAGCCTAGTGAAGGCCATTTCTAATTGGAAAAGTTTAATGAGCCTAATACTTGCAAATTTTGTAGGTTTTTTTTTAGTATCTCTCGACGTATTTTCTAATACTATTTGTTTTTGCGATCCCCTTCTGAATATTAAGTGCCTGCTATTATTTATAGGAGGCCACTAAATTATGTTATTTCCGGAACACGTGGCAGTTTCTTAGAAGCTAGCGACATGCAAGGCGACGCGTGTTTGTACAACTTGCCCAACTCATGCAAGTTGCTTATATTTTTGGGCGATGCGAACCAATTCTCGACAACAATCTTTTTCACACCAATTAAGTCGAAATCGATATAAGCAAGTTTTGCTTCTAATCAATATGGGGAGGTGACTTCCATAATGTTGGTCGGATGCATCTGCCATGGTTGGGATTGGCGCAAAATGAGAGACCGGCTTGGAGGCGGGCATCTTTATCTAGGCCGATGTATTCACAGTTTCTAGGTCTTCTGAATATCGCGGGCATATACTCATTGTCCACATCGTCATTTAGCAGGCTTAATCCATCGTCGTTGTTTAGCAGGCTTAATCTAGATCGACAGAGTTTGGGTACAACAATACTATGAGCGAGTAAATATTCCAAACAGATGTCGACCATGCCATGAGCAAATAAACATTCCAAACAAAAGAACAATTTAGAAATAAAAGAACAGGCAAAATTAAAATGTTCATTATCGATATTTAAGGCAAAGGAAAATGAAAACAAAATGCGCGAATGTAATGTCATGAAAAATTAGAATATCTTAATAACAATAAATCAACCCAATTTTCACAGATCCTATTTACTTTTGGAAGGGGACAAAAACCACCAAAAAACTGGAAGTCGACAACAAAAGAGGGCAGACATTCTGATGAATACAGAGCAATCCATGTTAATTTAAGCCTTGACAAACATCTAACGTTATACAAACCATAACCAGGGAAAAATGGAAAACAAGCCCAAATATCATATGTATCAGCATCCAATAACTAGCATATAACCCCATGAATTGAAAAGGCAGTTGTCTCGAAACGAAACAAATTGTCACTGCAGCCGAAACAAAGACACTCCATTTTATAAACTTCATTAGCATAGCTCCAACATATGACTTTCCATATATTCTTCAAGTAGTCTTCTCTCGCATTCTCATACTGCAGTTGATAAGTAAATGAATCAGTGATATTAAAAAATCAGGGGCTTCTGTATGCCCATGAGCTAAAGTAAACAACATTATGACTTGCAAACATGATGAAGGTATAAACATGCAGGGAGAAACACATGCAAATACGACTAAGGAAGTTGAACGGGCCCTCAAGAGAGGAAAAATGAGAAGAAAAAGAAAATGTTTCTTGAAGAAAAGAAAAAGGAAAGGAAATGAACAGAACAAAGTCAAAGCACCTGTAAATAATATGCATGCTCCCAGATATAAATTCCTAACAGAGGAACCAAAGTAGGCCCTTTAGTGACCAGTGGATCCTGCAAGAAAAATATTGTCAAGGCAGTAAGAAAAATACAACAATTCCATTTTATTTTATTTTCACCACACACGAGCCACCTTTCCATAATTGCTAAAGGTGCAACGCTGTTGTGGATTCAGGGGTTGAAGGTGATGGAATTAGGGATGAATTGGGATTTAGGGTTTCTGGACTTGGAGAGAGAGGTGAGATCGAGGATTTGAAGATAATAACTGAAAAGGGGCTTTATTTTGTTCGGGCTGAGCTACACGTGGAGAGTGGAGGAGATAAACGGGCAACCCACGTGATTGGCGAAGAAATCAAAGGGGCAGACATGGCAGCTGACGTGGATGTTGATGTTGCCAAATGATTTATTAATATATAATTAAGTTTGTTTTATGAGAGAGAGAGAGTGTGGAAAGGCAAAACATGTGTGAGTTCATGTGTTTCGGACCTTATATTATGCATTCAGAAATGGAAAAGAAAGGCAGTTACAACCAAATCGAATCTCTTTCCCTTCTCTCTCTTAATTCTCTCTCCCATACTCATCTTCTTCAGGTATACTAAGCTCATTTCAGCTTAGTTTTACAAACTAAAGTTATATAATATCAATTAAACACAACAATTGGCACCAGAGCGGTCGATTCTCGGCTATGGCGGATGGCACAAGACTCAAGGAGGCTACAGAAGGCACAGAAATGTGTCGACCAGGTCCTGCGAACAGAGGCAATGAAACGGGAGGCTGCAGAGCTCAAAATGCAGGATAAGCTATCAGAAATCACCAGCAAATACCACCAGCTGCCAAATACCATGGCAGCAATTCAATTACATTTATTGAATCTCACAAGAAGCAGTGCCGAAGAGGAATCCATAGTGGGCCCATTTTCTGGGCCATTCAAGGAAGTTACCAGCACACAAAAACAATGTCAACCTCATATTTTCAGCCCTATGCCTAAGGTGGATTTTCCCAAGTTTGATGGGAATAACCCTAGGTCCTGGATCCTTAAATGCAATAGCTATTTCAAGCTGGTGCAAAATATACCAGAAAACCAAAAGGTGCATCTGGCCTCCATGCATTTAGAGGGCAAGGCTGCCCTGTGGTACCAAAACTTCATTTCTTAACAAGGAGAATTAAGTTTGGCCCAACTTTGGAAGTGGTTTCTGCAAGATTCGAGGAAATAAGAGTCTAGAATCATAATTCATAGCAGAATTCAACAAACTTAAACAAACTGGCTCATATAATGATTATGTGGATAATAAGTTTAAGAAATTGAAGGCTTGCATGTTGCTAATGAAGGGAGTAGAGTACAGTGAAGAATACTTTGTGGCCAGCTTTATAAGTGGCCTCAGTGATGAGTTACAGTCTTTCATCACCATGTTTGATCCTAAGACCCTATTTCAGATTATTGAGCTAGGGAGGAAACAACTTCACGCCCTAGAAGCTATTTACCAATAGACCTCCATTTTCCCCTCAACCAAAAGCAACTAAAAGAGCAGAACACCCACCAAACAACTTCACAAAATCCAGCAATCTAAGGCCACCAGTCAAGCTGCTTACCTCAGCTGAAATGACTGCTAGGAGGGAGAGAGGCCTATGTTATAACTGTCATGAGCCATACAATTATGGGCATAGGTGTAAAAACAAGGCTACATATATGATTATGACAGAGGAAGAAGAACTCAGTAGCATCAAGGAATGTGAAGAGGGGCCAGAATTGATGGATGAACAACTGGATGAAGTGCACATGACCCTTAATTCTATTAGTGGAGAGGATGGACTGACTACAATATGGGTACATGGTGTGGCTGGCCAAGAAAAGCTTCACATCTTAATTGACACTGGAAGTACATTGAGCTTCATTCAAGAGGAGACTGCCAGGAGACTTGGATGTGAGGTTGTGGAGACCAAGACAATTCTGGTAAAGGACAATTCTGGTAAAGGTGACCAATGGGCAGAGGATGATAAGCGGGGTAAATAACTTTAAGTGGGAGATTCAAGGTAATATTTCACTTATTCACCAAGGTTATTGGCTACAGAAGGTTGTGACCTTATCTTAGGAGGTGACTGGTTAAAATCCTGCACCCCTGTGGAATTTGATTATGACCAAATGGCTGTCACAGTCAGATGGTGTGGGAAGAAGCTGAAAATTCAAGCCCTAACTTCTACTGCAGAATGTATGCTTATATCAACACCATCCCTCTATAAGCTTACACACATAGAGTTATTCTCTCAGTTGAAGGCAATTTATGTGATTACAACCCCATCTATGGGAATACGTCCACCTCAGGGGTTAAAGGAGTTGTTGGATTCCTATGACGATGTGTTCATTGAATTACAAGGGTTACCTCCTGCGAGGGGCATTGAACACCAAATAACATTAAAACCAAACAGTATGCCAAAGCAACGGACATCACACAGCCACAAAGAAGAGATTGAAAAGATCTTGAATTCTGGGATCATTCATGATAGTAAAGGCCCATTTGCTGCTCCAGTTATCTTGGTTAAGAAAAAAGATGGAACATGGAGATTATGGGTTACTATAGGTACCTGAATGAGCACACCTACCCTATACCCATCATAGAACTACATGGGGCAAATTTGAGCAGACAATACACAGCCTTTAGGGCTCATAGTGGACACTATGAGTTTCTAGTGATGCCATTTGGACTACGTAATGCCCCTGCCACATTTCAGTCCCACAGATTTTTATGGATCAGCAGAGGAAATCTGTATTGGTTTTGTTTGATGACATTAATGGTTTACAGTCCTACTTGGGAGGCACACTTAAAGAGTTGGAGGAGGTAGAAGGAAGCACAAACTCTATGCAAAGTTGAGCGAGTGTCAATTTCGTCAGGCTAAGGTGGAGTATTTAGGCCATATAATCACACAAGAAGGGGGTTATAGAGATCCTAACAAGATTGTGCATGGTTAACTGGCCAACCCAGCTACAGTCAAACAACTGGTTTTTTGGGGCTCACTGGGTACTATAGAAAATTCATCAGTGCAGATCAGCAAGGCATTAACTGTACTCTAAGGGAAGGATGGGGTTCAGTGGGGATCAGAGGCAGAACATGCCTTTGAGGAATTGAAGAGGGCTATAGGACTTCAACGCCAGTGCTTGCCTTACCAAATTTCACTAAGACCTTTATATTAGAAACAGATGCCAGTGGAAGTGGAATTGGGGCTGTGTTGATGCAAGAGGGCAAACCATTAGCTTATATGAGCAAGGTTCTTTGCCTAGAAACCAAGCACTCTCAATCTATGAGAGGGAGTTTTTTGGAAGTGGTGATGGCTGTGCAAAAGTGGAAGCACTATTTGCAAGGTAGGAGGTTCATTATAAGGACTGACCAACAATCCCTTAAATTTTTTATGGATCAGAAGATAAGCACAGTTATGCAGATGGTGAAAATGCTGGGAATGGATTATGATAGGGCAGCAGATGGATAGCAGGAAGAGGGAAGGGAAGGGGGTAAGAGAAGAACCCTTAACTGCTATCTCAGTGGTTTTGCCAAAGTGGGTTCAACAAGTGATTACCAATTACCAAAATGATGATTTTACCAAAAAGATTATCAATAGCAAGGCTGTGGACCCCTCTAGTTACCCAGAGAGTTTAAGTTTACTATCACTGATGGGCTTATCAGGTATAAGGGTAGATTGCTGATTGGTAGTGATCCTGGACTGAGGAGGAATATTGTGACGGAAGTCCATAATTCATCCTATTGTGGTCATTCCGGGGTACATGGCACCTACTCTAGGTTACACATGAGTTTTTATTGGCCAAGGATGAAACAGGAAATTGTTAACTGGATTAAAGAATGTGAGGTGTGTGCAAGTAGTAGATCAAACCCTGGAGCCTACCTTGGGTTTTTGCAGCCATTGTCATTCCAGACAAGGCTTAGAGCCATATATCTATGGACTTCATAGAGGGACTCCCAAGTTCAAAAGGAAAGACTGTCATATTGGTGGTGGTGGACATGCTAACTATATGCCCACTTCATTGCCTGACACACCCCTACACAGCCCAGTCTTGGACCACATTTACAGACCAACCAGTGAGCTTGGTCTCTAATACAGACAAGGTATTCACCAGCACTTTTTAGAGAGAACTTCATGGGCACCACACTAGACATGAGCTAACCAGTGCCTAAATGGTTATCTTTGGCAGAATATTGGTACAATACCAACTACCAAAACAGCATTAAGATGACACCATCCAGGGCCTTAAATGAGTATCAGCCTCCTAATCTATCCCTAGAACACTATGTGGGCACACCCAATTCAGAAGCAAAGGAAGACAATATACACAAATCACAAGCGAGAATGAAACAGTATGCAAGCTGACCAACACACAGACAAGAGAGGGCTTTTGACATAGGGGATTGGGTATATCTCAAGCTTCAACTATTTCGCCAAAATTCAATTTCATTGCGCAAGAATATTAAATTATCGGCCAGGTACTATGGGCTATTTGAAATTTTGGCGAAGATTGGGGTTGTTGCCTATAAACTAAACCTACCAGACGGGGCTAAGACACATCCCGTTTTCCATGTGAATTTACTAAAGAAATTCATTAAGGCAAGCCATACACCTAACAAAGAGTTTCCTGCCGTCGATGAAGAGGGTAACTTCAAAATAGAGCCGCTGGAGCTCCTAGATCGCCGGCAAATCTTGAGGGGTCGCCGATCAGTGGAACAGCTCTTGGTCCAATGGGCACGATTTGGTCTAAACTCCATGTCTTGGGAAGACTCGAGCTTTCTCCATCACAACTTTCCTTTTTCCGGCCGCAAGATTCCATCTTCTAATCCTTGTGGGCAAGGATCTCTCGATCCGGGGAAATTGTAGTGGATTCAGGGGTTGAAGGTGATGGAATTAGGGATGAATTGGTATTTAGGGTTTCTGGCTTGGAGAGATGGGTTTATTCCTCTAGTGGGTTGTGTTTAGGTTGTTCTAGGCTGCCTCGGGGGTTTGTCCTTCCAACTAGATTCAGCTGAGCAGCTGGATTATTTGGGTAATTAGTTTTCTTGTACGTGTTTTTTCTTTTATGGAGAGTCTATCGTTCAGGAAAAAAAAAAAGATTGATTTGGGCTACACGTGGTGAGTGGAGGAGATGAACGGGCAACCCACGTGGTGGGCAAAGAAGAAGTCAAAGGGGCAGACTTGGCAACTGACGTGGATGCTGATGTTGCCAAATGAATTATTATAAGAGATAGAGTATGGAAAGGCAAAACATGTGTGAGTTCATGTGTTTCGGACCTTATATTATGCATTCAGAAATGGAAAAGAAAGGCAGTTAAAACCAAATCGAATCTCTCTCTCTTCTCTCTTTCTCTCTCATCTCTCTCTCCCATACTCATCTTCTTCAGCTATACTAAGCTCATTTCAACTTAGTTTTACAATCGAAAATTATATAAAATTAATTAAACACAACAAACGCGAACAAAGGCACGCTATGGTGCAAGGGCTGTTGGAGCCTGAGGTTTGTCGCCCAAAAGAGGAAAAAGCAAAAAAGTGGAAAAAAAAACTAAAAAGAGAAAGATAGCCCCTTAAAAACTACTTAAATACTTAAAGGATACACCTGAGAGTAGCTCCAATCAGAAGTTGATGAGTGTGTGGAAGAGAACATGGTCCCTCAAGATGAAAAATAAATTAACATTTCGTGCCAGACTTCGAAAAAACCACTGCCTACAACTTCAATTACAACTTCGAATCTCTGGAGAAGAAAATCAAAGCTAGAAAACATATGTGAGTTGTGTGGTGTGTGGGGAGGTTGTTTAGAATTTAGAACATATTTTTTTTATGTGTGACAAAGCTAAAAAAGTTTGTAGTTGGAACTTAAGAAAAGGTGGATCACAATATGTGAAGGTAAATCCACTAAAAATTATGCACAGAGGATCTGGTGGCTCTGAAAAGTGAGGTATATTTAGGTGTTTAAGAAGAAATGGCTTAAGATACAATGGACTATGCTTTGAGAGAATGGCTTAGATTTTCATAAATCGCTATGCAATGCAGAGAATGTAATTGCTGGGGAATAGGGGTTTTATGGTTGTTTGTTGGATGGAGATTGTTGGAACCTAGGGACCACTACACTCCAATCTTTTGTATGGTTTTGAATCTTATCTCAACAACTCAGGCTTAGAAGCCAAGATGCAACTACATTTTTTGTATTTTCCTATTTTTGTTTTATGCATTTTTAGCTTACTTTGCTGTTGTATAGCTTAAATCTTCACTTTCAAGTTGTTAGTTTGGATGATGTTGTGTAACTACTAGAAGAACTATGCTTATAGCTTGAAGAGTTGTGCTTCATGTTACCTTGGTAAGCTTGTAAAGCCAAGGTTGTTAATATCCCCTGGGGTTGGGTTATGTTGTATTCGGTTCAATTTGCAATAAACTATTATCATTTAAAGAAAAAAGAAAAAAAAAATCAATTGCGTCAAGAGTTCCAATGTTTTCAATATGAAGAAGTCAGAGCAAGTACTCAAAACTTAAGCGCTCAGATTTCTCAACTTGGTATTCGTCTTGAGTAAGAAACAAAAATTGACGTCTCTAAGTAGAAATCAAACCAAGAGAAAATGTTGCTATGATCCTTAGAAGAGGGAAGGACGTGAAACAAGAATAAAAAAATGTGGATGAGAACATAAATGATGAAAACGATACATGTTTGAAATCTCCACCAAAAAAGGTAAGTAATGCTCAATTTCAACCAAACCTAAAATAGTGATTCCACCACCTTTTTTTGGCAGATTGGCAAGAGAAAAAAAAATAAAAAAAAATAACAGAGGAAAATCGAGAGAGAAGATAAAAGAATTGAGGTGAGTTCAAGTAGGGTAGCTTCTTACTCCCTTTAGCGGTACCAGTCTAACCCCTACCCCTAAGCGGTAGTAATCTACCTCCTACTCGGCTAGTTAGTGGGTTCCAGGAAAAAATACCACCCACCAATACAGACACCAATACAAGTACAGACAAAGGGAGTGATCCCCTAGTCAGGGAGCACGAGCGTCACACGCAGCTAAGTTTCACCTTAAACCCCTAGTCCCGAATGACAGACTGGAGTGAAGTGAGGCCCTAGTCGGGGCTCATGAACGGAGCTAAGGTAATGGAGTAGGAGTGACATGAAGGGAATAGAAGCCTACCCCAGCCCGTGAGCACACAAAGCGTGAGGGCTAGTGCAGTTGGTAGGCTGAAAATGACCTTCATGTTGCTCCTACCCCCCAACTGTTAAGGAAGGGAGAGAGGGCTCCCCGACAGTCTGTATTGGTGGGTGGTATCTTTTCATAACAGAGTTTGTGATAGCACGTGGGAACAATATGTAGCTGGAGCAACTTGACTTGGGCTTCATGGAACATCTTAAAGCCTTAACTTCTATTTACATTGGACTATTTTTAGGATTCTATTATTAGTTATCAGATGATATTACTAGGACTTCTCTTTTATTTTTAATTATATTGGAGTAACTACATGAGAGGTAGTTATTGATGGAAGAACGGTTTCCCTTTGTTTAAGAGGAAACATATATAGGAGGAAAAGAACACCATACACCAATACCACTTGCCCTTTTCCATCTTTACATCTCCATTCCCGTCTTTCAAAAAACTCCATCTTCATCTCCATGCCTACTTTTCCAATGTATAGTTAAGTTAGTATTTTCTAGATGAAGGTTTGTATGACATTATTAATATGTAGTTGTGAGATCTAATGGCTTGTGTTTATTCAATGTTCATGAGAGTTTGAGTATTTTTTGCGTATCTTGTTTATAATTACCTTGTTTTATTGACCAATTATTTTATTCAAATCGTGAATCTATAGTCAAATTAGAACGACAAATTTGTAATTGTTCATTTGTTTTAACAGTGGAAAGTGAAATGGATATTTAAATTAATATGGATCGTCAATGAGATAAGTGATCTAATTTAAATGAATCGTGGCTTCTTGAGTTTTTAATCAGAATTGGGTCTCTCTACTTCTTTGTTCTTAATGCTATCAAACATTAAATCCTACAAACTTCTCTAGGGTTATCTTTTTTAATAGAATAGTAATCTACGAGCTTCTTTTGGTTGCCGATAAAGTTAGGAGAGATTGATAATTCGGTGGTCGTTGGATGACTAACCAGTTTATTCGTGAAATTTTGAATTTTATTATTTCATCGATGATCAATTAAATGTATCAAGATAGCCTTTTTCATCGCTTTTCGAGATGAAACTCTATTCTTTATATTCTAACCTTGTGTCAGGACCTATGGGTCGAGGGAGGGACAATCTCAGGTAGATAGATAGAAAGACAGTTTATATGGGGCGTAGGCCTCCCAAAACGGAGGCGTGCAAAGGATTTTAATTTTATTATTTCATCAATAATCAATTAAATGTATCGAGATCAAACATATTCTTTGGTCATAAGCTTTTTATTATAATGTTGTCTCTTGTTTAATGAGTTATTTCAATTGATATTTTTAAAGATGATTAATTCTCAAATTACTCCATCCTAATATTATTGGAAATAAGTAAATTCCTAACATTCCCTGTGGAGAAGATCATGCTCAACCAATACTCGTTTGTCTAGAGTAGGAAAATCCATTCCAGCTGTTTGACACACATCAAAAATCTTAAAGCCAACATTTTTTTGTAAATTTTTTATCACTAACAAGGAGTACAGCATACTCAGTGATCTGCAGTTGACTGAAACTACACATAAATTTATTGCTACAATAAGAATCACTTCACTTACATCATTTGCAGTTGTCTCAACTATTAGACGCTTGATATTTTTGCAATCCACACCAAGCCACTGGGGAATTAAAAAATAATTTAACATACTGAATATGCACTAGCCAATAAATGCATAGCATGGAGTGTTCATATAAGCATACATGCAGACCTCTACTGTAAGAAACATGACGATAAAGTAAAAACACGTAGTAAACTTACCACCCACCCCAAACCTGGTAATGCTGCAGCTTCTGTAGTCATCTTCTGTTTTAAAGATTCCACGCATCCAAAGTTTTTCTTAATAGCCCAGCATAAACCATCCCTGGGAGGCTCGCCGCCCCTTTCCTGAAGGAGAATAATTAGCTTTCACAAAAAACAAGCCCAATTATCCTAAAATACAATGATTTAATACAGAGGTAGAGAAATGCACAAAAAGGAGCAAGCTTACACGGCAAGGAGCAATGCACTTCCAAAATAGTGAATGATTTATGTGTCCTAAACAAGACAATATCAGAGTTAAACAAATGAACATCCTAATTAAGACAATATCAGAGTTAAACAAACCAACAGGAGAGAATGTTTCCGTATAATCAGAAACAAATAAGTTACCTCCTGCGTTGAGCTTGAGGACCTCCTGCAACTTCACGACGGCAGAGGCATCGCCGCTAGCGGTGGCGCTATCGAGGAGTCGGACAAGCCACGAAAAATCGATACTGGATCACCTGGTGAAAGAAACCGGGACCACCCTGAGGAGACTTGGTGGAAGGTAGTGGTCAGTCTGGAATTAGGGCTTCGCGCCATATCTCCCAAGTCTGCAGTCTCTTCCAAGCCAAGGCAAAGATCAAGAGCTGGGACAGGCTAGGACTATTCTCTTATTTAAGCTGGTCCAAGGCTTTATTGTAGTTAGTGACGTAAGCCTGGTGGTGTTTCTTGTGGTGGAGCAACATGATAGCGTTGCGGATGGCGGGCTCGTAGTCAACGTAGCCGTACTCCAAGGGCGGCAGCGACAAACGCTGAGTGGCAAGAGGGTTGATAGGCGGTTTTGTGCTTAGGCGTCGGAGGAATAGGGTTCGTAGATACATAGTAGCTAATTTTATTTTGGAAGGGGAACAAATGATACAAAGAGATCTTTGATGTGAGGAATGATTGTAAATCAAATCGCAACTTGTTTTCAGACTTATCCAGATAAAAATTAACAAGGGCTCGTTTACTTCCACAGGCAGGATAAGATACTTTCATTTAAAAATTATTGTGCTTGATTTTTCTTATCCTTTGTTTACCAAACAAAAAAGAAAGGGTGGTTGTTGAATTTTTTTTTTTTTTTTTCNATTCATTAACTAATACATTACCGGTTTACCCTCATTTCTCCTAAGGTTATGTTTGGTAAAATTAGTTGGCTGATAAACTAGCTGATAGCTGATAAGCTAGCTTATAGCTTATCAGTAATTTTTGAGGTTATAGCTTATAGCTTATGACTTATAGCTGAAAAGCTAGCTTATATGATAAAAGTGTTTAGTAAAATTAGCTGATAAGCTAGCTGAAATAAAAATTTCAACAACTTATTTGAAAAGCTACCCAAAGAAGCTTATCAAATAAGTTCGAGCTTTTTAAAAAAGCTCGTCCTACCAAACGGAGTTTATTTGAAAACAGGGAGCTTATAAGCTAACCAAATAAGCTATAAGCTAGCTTATTGGTCTACCAAACATAGCCTAAATCATTGTCTCGTCTACCCTCTCTTCTTTCACTCCTTTCAACCCGGCGACGAGAAGAAACAATCGTAGTGAAGTGGCGATCTTTGCCTTTTATCGGTGCCACCGCGATCTCGACTAACCTGGGGCGATCTCAGCAGACCTGGGGCAAGGTTATCATACTCGATAGTTTTGATTTCAAGTAAGGGCGATTGTTTTTCTTATTCCTTCCCCTTACAAACCAATTACGCAAATTCTGTCGGGCGTACATTATTTTTTTTTCCGACGTGCCCCTCAATTTCTAGTTTACGTCTACATACTTCAACAAACCCAATTTATATTGTACAAGTCCTCTTTCAATTTCATTGTGACAGTGATTTAGGGTTAGGTTTTATGCTCTATTTCAGATATTGATTCCAATTTTATTTGATGGGTTTTTTGTATTGAGGATATAGGAATTTTTATTTCGTTTAGTTTCAATGCTTGACTGCCGTCTGTGTAATATTTTTCTCCTATGAGATGTAATCTGATTTACAGCTTTTGTAGCATATTCTGTGGATCCCAATGATATGATTCCTGGAGCAAAACAAGCAAGTTTTTTCATCTGTAAGCATGTAATAAACAATAGCAACTTGTAAGAAACTAAACGATAGCAACTTGTAAGAAGCACACAAATTATAGAACAAATCTTGAGTAATGCCCCAATGTATTACCAACATATGAAGTCAAACATTCTATTAATTTTATATTTTAATTCTTCAAAATTTTGAAGTTTTCTTAAGTTTTTTCAATCTCAATTATGGTTTAATTTTTTTGTGTGCAGTTTTAGAATTTATAGTTTGTGTTCAATTTCTTTTTATGTGACTTTTTTTCATATTTCCCTGAGTTAAAGTAGAAGTTTCCCTCTGAACTTTGTACTTCATAGGTCCATTGTTCTCACCAAGACGACGCTGACATATCATCCCACAATTTCTTCGAGGTTTCAGCGTATAAAAATAATTCTGAAATTTCTTTGGATAGCGAGTTAATGATCCAGGATAACACCATCCAATCCACCTATTCCAATCAAGATAATCATCATCACCAACATCCGACATTTTTATATCATCATTTATAAATCCGAGTTTGGTTTTAGCTCCAAAGGCAATCATCATCGATCGTTTCCAAGGAAAAAAATTGCTACCAGTAAGAAGATTTGTTACGAGCAACATACCAGGGTTATCAGAACCGTGAAGTGAGAACGAATCCTGTTTCGATTTCGATGCACTATCTCGTGGCGCCATTGCTATGAGTTGAGGTAAAAAAAACTTTGAATCTGCTTTGAAATCGACTCGATCTAGATGCAGAAGAAGATAAACAAGCTCACCTGCTCTGATACCATTTGAAGTTTCATCTTAATGGAAGAAAAACACAAAAAGATTTCTGAGGAATCACCATTTTCATTTTTGGGTAGTCTTCCGTACGTACAGAATTATGAAGCTTACACAATATTTATTGTTTACATGCAAGATAAAATGACTTTGTTTTATCACTTAAGGGATTGACCCTAAAACGACGTCGCTCGAACTAAACGAAAACACCATTCAAACTAAAAGAGTTGTTAACACGTTTTTGATAGACACATAACAAACATAGCAGAATGGTGTTTTTGTCATACTCAGCTGTTAACACGTTTATGCCATTAAGGGCTCCGAGAAGTTATCCAAATCATGGAACAACATGTACCTTGGGGCATACTCAGCTGTAATCGACAACAGCAATATCCCCGACCTTTCTCTAGACGAAATTGTTGATCGAAATTACATATTTACTGCTCGTGTATTTGTCTTGGAAGTTATCAGGTACAATTTGGTTATACTTTGAACAAAAGATCTGTTGCATCAAGTGTTTTGTCTTGTATTAAAATTGAGATTTGCTGACTTTTGTTGTTATAAGCTGGATGTCAAGAGATATCTTTAGTAATTTTAATTATTTTTCATGCGTAGCGTGTGATGGACGAGGTTGATTCAGCAGCCACAATTGATCTTCAGGCCGTCAAACTGCTTGCATTGTATTTTTCGAGCACACCAAACAAGGTAATCTAATGTGGTTGGTTGTTAAATTAATGTTGTGTAATAGAATGTGAACTAGATGTAGACAATAATTGATAATGAAGTTATAAATTTAATGTAGTATAATGGCATAATTTAGAAAACTTTTGGAATGTCACGAAAACCTTTATGCTTTTCTTCGTGCCACCTGTTCAGTTATTTCCCGTCGTGCCCTAATTTTGTTGGTAATTGTTTTACTATATATGCTTATCGTAACTATCCTCAATTCCATATGTAGGAAATGACAATTTCGAGAATCTTTGAATGGCAAGGAGATCCATCCAAAAGAGACAATTCCACCTTTCATTTGATTGCAGGGATAATATTCTTGAATGAGCGGAATTACAATGAGGCGTTAAAGTTTACAGGAACTGGGGGATCAATGGAACTGTAAGTCATTGCATAATATGATATATATCAACAAAGAACTTTTATGCATACAATATCATTTTGGAAATTTCAGCACACAACCAAACTCACCTTCATTCTCCAGAGTTACATATGTGACTCCCAAAACTGGAACGCCCCCTTTTCTGTATTTTACTTCACAAAGGAAGAGTTAATTAGTTTTGAAGCCCCACAAAAAAAAAAAAAGAAATGATTTAGTACGCGACGGGAGGTCCAAATATTCTAAAAGCATTGCATATATTTCTATTTTGCAACGGGTAGGTCATTGTATATTTCGTTAATAACAGGTCATTGTATGCTTTTAGAATATTTGGGCCTCGAAATTGCCATTTCCTACATATAGAAAAGGGAGGTCCAAATATTCTAAAAGCATTGCATATATTTGATTTGTTATCAACGAAGTATACAATGACCTACCCGTTGCAAAAAGGTTTGATTGCTTGGGGCATGGGCCACTTTGACACCGCTGAAACTCTTCTACTTGAAGCCTGAAACAGGTAGGTTAAATTACTTTATGCCGAAATATTCTTAGTGTTGTGCCACTAAACCTGCTTAAATGCTTTCTTATGAGGCTTGGTTGTGAGTTTTTTGTTTTTTTGTTTTTTTCCATTTGCAGGGTGTAAAGGATCCAGGAATGAGTCAAAATCTGGATGAATGCAGACGTCAGCTCGGAAAACCATCATAGTCATCCTACTACCTCAGGTTTGTGTTTGAAATTGTCCTCTATAATAGGTTTTTTTCAACATTTGCATAATTGGAAAATGCCTTGAAGCACATGAGCAGTTTTGAATAGGACAAGTCATCTGCCTCTGCCTCTGCCTCCACCTCCACCATCAAAAGTTGTGTAAACTCGGGATGCATTTGGGGAATTTATCATGGACCACCAATCATCCAAAAGGCTTTGTCTGTCAATTTTCTGTAGATCCAATAGGTCATTGTACACTTATTTTGCCTGTTTTTCCACTCCAAAACTTTCATATACAAATAAACTGGTTTAGACATGGTATGACTGATACTAGTCGTCAAAATAGGTGTGCCTGACCAGTCCTTCCAAAACTCTCTAACTCACTGGACATGCGGCAAAATGGCTTGGTTGGTCCCAGAATTATTTGGTCCATGATAAATTCCCCAAATGCATCCCGAGTTTACACATCTTTTGATGGTGGAGGTGGAGGCAGATGACTTGTCCTATTCAAAACTGCTCATGTGCTTCAAGGTATTTTTCAATTATGCAAATGTTGAAAAGAACCTATTATAAAGGACAATTTCAAACACAAACCTGAGTTAGTAGAATGACTATGATGGTTATCCGAGCTGACGTCTGCATTCATCTAGATTTTGACTAATTCTTGGATGCTGGATCCTTTACATGTAAATGGAAAAAAACAAAAAAAAATAAAAAACTCACAACCAAGCCTCATAAGAAAGCATTTAAGCAGGTTTAGTGGCACAACACTAAGAATATTTCGGCATAAAGTAATTTAACCTACTTGTTTCAGGCTTCAAGTAGAAGAGTTTCAGCAGTGTCAAAGTGGTCCATGCCCATGTTGCAAGCAATCAAACCTTTTTGCAACGGGTAGATCATTGTATACTTCGTTGATAACAGATCAAATATATGCAATGCTTTTAGAATATTTAGACCTCTCTTTTCTATATGTAGGAAATGACAATTTCGAGGCCCAAATATTCTAAAAGCATATAATGACCTGTTATCAACGAAGTATACAATGACCTACCCGTTGCAAAATAAAAATATATGCAATGCTTTTAGAATATTTGGACCTCCCGTCGCGTACTAAATCATTTCTTTTTTTTTTTTTGTGGGGCTTCAAAACTATTCAACTCTTCCTTTGTGAAGTAAAATACAGAAAAGGGGGCGTTCCAGTTTTGGGAGTCACACATGTAGCTCTGAAGAATGAAGGTGTTTGTTGTGTGCTGAAAATTCCAAAATGATATTGTATGCATAAAAGTTCTTTGTTGATATATACCATATTATGCAATGACTTACAGTTCCATTGATGCCCCAGTTCCTGTAAACTTCAACGCCTCATTGTAATTCCGCTCATTCAAGAATATTATCCCTGCAATCAAATGAAAGGTGGGGTTGTCTCTTTTGGATGGATCTCCTTGCCATTCAAAGATTCTCGAAATTGCCATTTCCTACATATGGAATTGAGCATAGTTACGATAAGCATATATAGTAAAACAATTACCAACAAAATTAGGGCACGACGGGAAATAACTGAACAGTAGTGCACAGTATAGGTGGCACGAAGAAAAGCATAAAGGTTTTCGTGACATTCCAAAAGTTTTCTAAATTATGCCATTATACTACATTAATTTTCAAACTTCATTATCAATTATTGTCTACATCTAGTTCACATTCTATTACACAACATTAATTTAACAACCAACCACATTAGATTACCTTGTTTGGTGTGCTCGAAAAATACAATGCAAGCAGTTTGACGGCCTGAAGATCAATTCGTCCATCACACGCTACGCATGAAAAATAATTAAAATTACTAAAGATATCTCTTGACATCCAACTTATAACAACAAAAGTCAGCAAATCTCAATTTTAATACAGGACAAAACACTTGCTGCAACAGATCTTTTGTTCAAAGTATAACCAAATTGTACCTGATAACTTCCAAGACAAATACACGAGCAGTAAATATGTAATTTCGATCAACAATTTCGTCTGGAGAAAGGTCGGGGATATTGCTGTTGTCAATTACAGCTGAGTATGCCCCAAGGTACATGTTGTTCCATGATTTGGATAACTTCTCGGAGCCCTTACAAAATTTATATGACAATAAATTCAACAAGTGTTTCCTAACTCAATATTCCAATTTTCCCTACTGAGTTCATATAATAAAAAAAGCCATACGTATAACTTGCTGTCTCAAATATAAATTCTGACAATAAAAACATAAATATACCTTGGATGGATAAGTCGAAGGTATTTGGGCCATAACCGGTCTTTTGCTTTTACTGCTTCCCGAGAATCTAACACTCGACTTAATGGTTGTTGCGAACAATGAGTCTATCCAGACTCTTAACTCTGCCACGTTGTCGTCATTCTTTGTCCCTACCTTCCCGTGAACTTCCACCTCAGAGTAGGACCCTTGGAAAACGCTCCCCAACCTCCAATTCTTGAATGGAATAGACAGAGAGGCATATACTGCGGCTATCGTCATGGGAGTATCCATCTGTACTCCAAAACGTGAATCTAGGACAATAAAAAATAAAATATAAATAAAAGAAATCTTAAATCAACACTTTAATTTAAATTCAATTAACTAAACTTACTGGGACCATCTGGGTGTGCGTCAATGAGCTCAATGGTGAGCTGCAAGGTAAGCCCTACATACTCCTCAAAGGTAAATCCTGTGTGGCTGCCATGTTTATTCCACTGTTGGACACAAAATTCGAAACATGCATGAAGATTATCACAGTCTTTTAGGTCTGGCCAAAGGTCAAAAAGATGACGGATCAGCTTGGTTCCTAGAATGTCCATTATGTCCTGGAAAAAAAAAATGTGAGAAGTAAATAATATACAAAATTATATACTACAAAAAGATAATTTAGAATTTACTTACCTTTATATCCTTCTCTGTCATGAGGGGTTGTGGGTTCTTGCTACAGAATAGATCATCGTTGGCTGTGTGGGGCCATAATCCATGTGTAAACCATCCCAATCTACGTGGGATGGTCTTGAAAGGAAAACTTTTTTCCCCCCAATATAAGGACTGTGCCCACTGGTACGCTAGTTTGTAATGGTCTGGCCTTGCTTCAGCAGGCCCAGCAGCAATCCTCCTAACTGCTTCTTCTAGAGGCGCTAGAGGAATATCAGGCTCTACAACGGTGGAAAATGATCTTCGCCTGACGAAGGTGAAGACGGATGACTGTCGAAATCGCTTGACTAACAACGCCATACTGTCACATGAAAAGAGAATTAATGTATCGTCATAACATTAAATCTTAATCCAGAAAACATGGATTAAAAAAGGAAAAAAAAATATATGAAACAAAGAACAGTAAAATTAGATTCCACTGAGGGTAGCAAAAGAACCACAAGGTCATCACTCAATCTAATGTACTCGAACACAAAACAAATTCTAAAGTGAAAGATAAGAATCTTCCGATCAAACTCAAATCACACTTGCTGTTAAGGGGCTAAAGCCCAAAACACTATCTAAAACATTTAAGTAGAGAAAACTTAAGGAAAATATAATGAGCCTGAAATTGTGTCTATATAATAAGGTAGTTAAAACTTAAAGTTAAAACCTTTTATGGGAATAAAGTTTGACTCAATACAAAATAAAGGAGATACCGAGATGAAGCAAGGATACAAGATATGATAATTCTTCATTTACTATTTCACCCAGCTATTTCAAAAGAAAAATTGACCCTAAAAAGTGTGGACAATTAATAGAAAATTTGAGAGATGAGCTTAAGCCCAAACTGTAGTGATACATTACAACCAGTTATTTAACAATCAACAGGGCTTAATCCACCACTTTAACAGAGCTTATTTAACAACCAGTTATGAGATTCTAAAGAAACTAAACTAGAATCAAATATGAATCACCACTCTAACAGAGCTTATTTAACAACCAGTTATGATATTCTAAAGAAACTAAACTTGAATCATATATAAATCATATAAATGTATTATTCAAAACAACAAGCTCAAGAAATCATTTATCTCACTCTATTAATTAAATAAATAATCAATCATTCCAATTGAACCTAAAATTTAAATCATCAAATCATCAAGAGAATGAAGAAGATGCCCAATTTCAATTTCAATTTCATAAACTCCAATGAAAAACAAAATGTTACCTATGGACTATGGAGTCAACCGAGGAGCAGGGAATGTCGGGTAGAGAGAGCCGAGGAGCAGGCACTTTGGGGGTGACGAAAGCCGGGCGAGAGAGAATCAACTTGTGAGGAGGCTGAGGTGGAGACGTGGAGGCGGCCAAGTTCCTACTCTCGCCGGGTTGTGGTGGGCCGTGGAGGTTACATTGGAGCTGTGGAGGATGCGGTGGAGAGGCTGAGAAGGAGATGATGAATAGAAGACTGAGAAATGAACGAGGGTTTTTTCGTGTCGATTGGGCGGGCTTTACAATTTATTGTTTGAAGGGTTTTGGGCTTACTTTACATCAGTTAAATAAAATTGATGCATATCACTTTTTGGGCCATGTTTTTTTACATCGATTTTTTTACCACCTTCACATCGGTTTTTCTAGGCCGATGCATATTATTTAAATCGGTCTGCACATTGGTTGTGTTGAAACCGATGCCTATGCACACAGGCCCATACATCGATTTTCCTAAATCGATGTTATATACTACCTCCTATTCTTTTTAAATGTCATTTTGGCTTTATCAACTATTAACCAAAATAAATGTCGTTTTGGATCTTTTGTACATATTTTTTCATTATTACCCTCATTTAGTTAATAAATGTACTACGTCTTTTCATATTTTCTTCATCTTTTTTTTTTTTAAAAAAACATCCATCTCTATCCTTATTAATGAGGATTATTATTGACAAAAAAATTATTCTTAATTAGTGTGCAACTTCCCAAAATGACACTTATTATGAATATGAGAGAGTATTATATTTTTTACATCAGTTATACATAGAACCGATATAAATAATGTTGCCTACCAAATTATTCACATCGGTTTTGTAAGAAACGATGCGCCAGATGACAATTCACATCGGTTTTATAAAAACCGATGTCATACCTGATGTGAAAAGTGTTTTTTGCATTGGTTGTGAAAAAACCGATGTGAACACCCAATGTGAAAAGTATTTTTTCTACTAGTGATAGTGCCCTTTGTTTACCCCAGTTGGATTTTATCAAGAGATAATAAGCCAAATGATAAAGCCAAATTGTTATAATCATCCCTTAAAAACACAAACAACAGTAGTATAGTAGAATATAGTGATATTTACCTTCAAGGGGATCCCCAAGACAAATACATCAAAACTTTCAAACAGAACCTAAAAATGAAAAATAACGTAAGGAATTAAATAAGAGTTTGGCATCACCATCCTCATCAAGGTACTAATTAAAACTCTATGAAATACAATGAAAACTCTCGAACAGTGAAATATGGTATGACATACGACATAATAAGGGACAAAATTAAAGCGATAGAGACTTTGGGAACAATAAGCTTTTCATGCTAGATCAATTAGTTAAGAAACTTATACCACCATACTAAAAGAGATTAAAACTAAAAAATGCATTCATAATAACTCATGATATTTTTACAAGACAAAAATCACCACTGAATTGAAATAGCTACAACAAAGAAATAAGTAGAACACTTCACATACAAAACAAGAATTGAGACCATCTAACATATTAAGACTTTAAAAAACCATGAGATACACCCAGTGTTTTAAATACCGTACCGGTGGTCATACGGGTCTAGCCACCGGTACGCGGTATTACCGATCGGACCGGTAATATCGGTGGTATTACCAGATTAGTAAATATAATTATATATATAAATATACATACAAATATATAATACCAAATGCAAAAAAGTAAAAAAATAAATGACCATAATCATTAATTTCAACTTCTCAATGAGATAAAAATAAAACATTTAAACTACCAATTTAAATTTTATTTTTTTAAATTAAAAAATTTTATTTTTTTTTTATTTTTTTTTTCTGGCCGGTATTTTGGACCGGTATTTTGCGGTTTTTACGGTATGATCCCGGTACAAACCGATATAACCGTAAATCCGGTATTTTGAGTGCAATTGTNAGGAAGTTGAAAGTTAGGCAATTTGTCTAATTCAGCCGCCTGCCACATGAAGAAAATTGGCAATTTTTATGCCTATAAATAGGCTTATTCGGGCAGAAGGGAAGGATACAGAAAACAAGAAGAAAAGGAAGAAAAAGAGAGAGAAAGAAAGAAAGAGATATAGAAACAATTTTGGAGGATAAAAATATCAGTGGGAAAATTATAGAAATAATTATTTGTTATCGAAAGAACAAAAGAGTGATATTTTTATTCCTATTTTTAAGTGCTTAATTCTCGACTCCATTCAAGTTCGCTGGAGCTCGTAAATCTAGTGTGCTACAGATTTAGAGACGTTTGCCGTTGTATCTTTGGGGAAGTTACGCCTGAACCGTTAGCTGCCACACGGGGTGTATTCTTCTTGCGGAAAGAGTTTTACTCGCCTCGGCTAAAATCTTTCCGTTTAGTTTTTTAAGTTTTAATTTATTTTTCAGTTGTAATTTATTTTTCAGTTCAATTGTAATTTTCTATTTCTAGATTATTCGTAAGAACTGAAAAATACATATCAGTTCGTAGGATTCCCGTGTATTTTATACCAAGTCTCTAACAATCGCAAGAAGAATATTGTCATCCTACTGGACTTATGGCAAACAATGGAGAAGGTTCTCAACATTATCATTCGGTCAACCCAGTTGTTAATAATCCTGTACGAGTTGTCCATGTCCCCACTGCTGAGAAGCCCAAAAAAATTCAACGGGCTTGATTTCAAGAGATGGCAACAGAAGATGCGCTTTTACCAAACCACCTTGGGTTTGGAAAAGTACCTGAAGGACGATCCTCCAGTCATTGATGAAAATGAAACCAATGCTGAACTACGCAATGCGTACGATGCTTGGATGCAAGGTGATTACCTTTGCTGTAACTATGTCCTGAACGGACTTAGTGATAAATTGTACAATGTGTACAGCTCGGTTGGTTCTGCCAAAGAGCTTTGGGCTGCTTCGGAAAAGAAGTACAAGACCGAGGATGCCGGGGCAAAGAAATTCGTCGTCGGAAAATTTCTTGACTTCAAAATGGTTGACACAAAGACCGTTGTGTCACAAGTGCAAGAATTCCAACTCATCGAATGCCTTTGAGCGAGTCATTCCAAGTTGCGGCTGTGATTGAGAAACTGCCGCCGGGTTGGAAAGACTACAAGAACTACCTCAAACATAAGAGGAAGGAAATGAGTCTTGAAGACCTGGTGGTTCGTCTTCGCATTGAGAAAGACAACCGTAATTCATCGGCGAAGACTCCGACGATGGAGGCTCGTGCTAATTTGTTGGAGCAAGGAAACTCGAGCAAGAGAAAGTCCCTGGACAAAGGGAAGCAGCCATGTAAGGTTTGAAAATTTACAGGTACTTGCTACAACTGCAGAAAGCCGAACCATATGGCGAAGGACTGCAAGAGGCCAAAGAAGGTTGTGCCAAAGAAAGGTAAACCGAGTGCCCTTGTGGCAGAACACGGCCCCGTGCCGGGTGAATTGATCGACTTTAATATGTCGGTTGTGGTGTTTGAAGCCAATATGATGGTTAACCCAAGGGAGTGGTACACCGATACTGGTGCCACTCGTCATGTGTGTTCCGATAAGGAGGTATTTTCTGAATACACTCCTGCAAAGAGTCGAAAACTTTACATGGCAAACTCCGCCACAGCTGATGTGGCTGGAGTGGGCACTATGGTGCTGAAGCTAACTTCTGGAAAGGAGTTGAAGCTTAAGGATGTTCTGCATGTCCCAGACATTTGCAAGAATTTGGTCTCTGGATCTCTTCTTGTTGAGCATAGATTTAGGCTGGTATTTGATGCTAAGAAGTTTGTTCTTAGCAAGTTTGGAACTTTCCTTGGTCGTGGCTATCTCGACAAGGGTATGTTCAAAATGAATGTAATAGCCGTGAGCCGTGTAACCGTTTTAAATGATAATGAAAAGCCTATTTCTGTTTATATCGTTGAGTGCTCTGATTTATGACATATTAGATTGGGACATGTAAATCTAAATGCAATTAAACGGTTAATGAATTTAGAATTAATTTCTAATTCTAATATTGAATCACAAAAGAAATGTGAAATTTGTATTGAAGCAAAAATGGCTAAGTTGCCTTTTCACTTGGTGGAAAGGAGTACTGAACCATTA